TTATTTTTGTTATCTTCTTTAAATGCGCTATTCAGTAAAATTTTCAAATCACGAAATAAATTATTATATAAAGTTTTATAGTGCTAATTTCTTTGAGATGAAATATTAACATTTGTAGAAAAAGGACGAAAAGCTTATCGGCGCTGTGGGGATCGAACCCATGTTTTTAACCACTAAGATAAACGATGGATTGTCATACTGACATAAATTTAACTTAATTCATCTACTCTGTTTTTTTACATTATGAGCAAAGTTTGGCGCCATCTATTGTTGTGTCATGTGCAACAAACCATTTACCGGGGCCGCGGAAATTGGATTTTTTTACAAGAGTTAATAATTATAACGTAATAATACAATTTCTGTTAAAATGGCTTACACATAATATGAAAGTAAAAAGAAGCTAATAATAATTTCAAACACTGTTTCACATTTTAAAATTTCCAGATACATCCGTAGTAACTCGGCCTATTAGAAGACCAGCGTGAAGTAGAACTATCATACTTATAAAGGGGGCCTGCTTTCTAACGGTTGACATCGCATCTGCAACTCTATCACAACAGGTGTTGTAGATGTTCATGGGGACAGTAATTACTTACCATGAAGTGAACCACCAGATTACTTGTAACTTTTTATTTAAAAAGAAACAAAAATAATGTTTAAATCCAAATTCTAACGCACATCAAAATATATAACGGTATACCTGAAATTATGCCAAACATATTATTTTAATGGTCTCGAATCAGTTTCAGTTTTTTTATCAGGAAGTCTTCATAATTTTTAAGATGTTTAACTAGATTTTAAAAAATGTTTTAGTGTACGTGGCGTTAATCGTTTTGTGTTTTATTTCTATCGTAATTCAATTGACCTAAAAAATCCGACGACCTAAAATTCTCACTATGTATTACCATTACTTTAATGAATTGTCTAAGATCAAAATGTCCGTAGGTTATCAAAAAGTGTAGTGAAAATTGGTATCATCGTTTGGCATACTTAAAGTTAACTGTTCTTACTCACGGCCGTGGCTCGGTAATAGGTTCTTCACGCTTTAAATAGACTGCAATAAACCAGCACCGTTTTAATGTTTACCTTTCCTACCAATAAGCAACTTGTAACCTACTGTATTACCATGTTTTCAATGTTTTTTCATAAATATCACAAAAAAATTCATAGCGCTTCTTATTTTCGTATCTTCTATAATTTCTTCGTTCTTACACCCGTATCTTCTATAATTTCACAATCACTCACTTATTACGTTACAATGTGTTTGTTCACATGTAATGAATAACTTTTGAACCTACTGAATAGTTTTTAAAGTGATGAAAAGCTCGGCTTGGGTCATAGGGCTTTTATTTTAACGTTTAAGAAAACGACATTTTATTTTAAAAAAGAATAGAAAAAATAGTTTTTATTAGTAATCGTAATAATTGTAGAGCAAGTCGAAAGAAAAAGCTTAAAAGCTGACATATCCATCAACCATAGACACTGGCATTATGTAATAGAATATTCCAATTACTTGGTTAAATAATATTTTCTAACATGCATATCTTTATTTTAAAGTTTGTTCGTGCATTCGTCTTTAAATTTTGATACGGAAGCATTAAAAAAACTAATCGAAAGCCGAATTAAAGAAATACCATTTATTTTTCTATCCTCTGTAGTAGTATGTTCTACAAAGAAAATGTAACTTATTGCTTTAGTTTCTGTATCTCATAATAATACAGATTCTTAAGTCTTTAATAAAAATTAAAATTTTAGTTTAAACTGTGTGAATGAATTAATGAATACTTTATTGTCCACCACAGATAAGAGGATATACAAAATTAACAATAACAAATAAATTAATGAGAAGCACAATTTGGCGGCCTTATAGCTTCATAGCGATCCCTTTCAGGCAACCAATGGCGTTCAGGAATGTTTATTACGTAGGTTGTACAATAGTAACATACATAATGTATGACTAAATCAAATACATCATGTATACAAATACATAATACATACGTGTATACACATACACACTCATAAATACATGTTTATATACATACATACACAAACGTATACACATATATTTAAATTCTTATACATATATTTATATATATATACTAGACCTCAAGTAATATAATCATAACTAGTAAATACAATATAAACATGAATAATGTAGTAGTACCTGGAGGACCTGGAGTACTTGTTTTTTTTTGGTAAATCGTGTGTTTTGGAAATTACATTTAGATACAAATTACTAAGTAATGAAATATGCATAATATGTTTTGATCTTACCGATGTAATATTAAGAAAATAGGAACTGGTGTTCTGCACAAAAGAAAGAACTTTAAAAAAAAGGTAAAAAAATAACAAATCGACAAAAAATAAAAGATAAAGAAAGCAATGATCTGAAATCGAAAAAAAAAGTAAAAAAAATAAGTGTGTAAATGATCGTGATACGAACCACGGCCTTCTGTTTCGTGGCTGGTTGTTAGCGGCCGCCCGATTACCGACTGAGCTATTATAACATTTTTTTTTCGGTGAAATTTACCGTCGTATTCGAATAATATTTTTCATTCCCTGAAAACTGGGATAAAACGACATTTTCTAAAAATGAAACCTAGTCAGATCGATTTTTCGCCCCCGAATCTACGCACATACTAAATTTCATGAAAATCGCTGGAGCCGTTTCCGAGATTCCAATTATATATATACACAAGAATTGCTCGTTTAAAGGATAAGATTTAATCCTGACGATACTCGAGTGACTGAGACCGATAATGCTCTTTAAATAATTTCTTAAAGGTGCCAATAGATTGCACCTCACGAATAACTAACGGTAGGAAATTCGAGAGTTTAACTGCCTGCACGGTAAAAGATATTTCAAAAAATGACGATTTGTTATTTGACACCTTTAAAATGACCTTCCTCGAAGAACGTAGATCTTCCCCTGGAAGTCCTACAAATTCAAATCCTCCTTTAAATAAAGTGGAGTAGAAACATGAAATAGAACACAGTACAAAATAGGAAGAATGAAAGAAAGAAAATTTAGAAGAAGAGACACATTCATTAAATATGTAAGTGATAACAAGAGTGATAATATCGAGGACAGGTATAATCTTACGGCTAATGTTATCACTACCGACAGCACTTGAAGAAATGGACAATATGCTCTTCCTAATTTCACATACACTAAACTGACTAAAACGAACGGTGGATAATTAGGAGTTGGCATTGCAGAGAAAGAATGAAGAGTTTGTGCTTTAAGTTCACTATCAAAAGTAATAGAAGGGGTAGAAAAGGTAGGTTCAGGTTAGAAAAATAGGTTCAACGTTAATACTTGTGTGCTTGAAAAATTGCATATCCAAATCCTTCGAACCCTAACACGTAACACTACTTATGTATATTATTACTTATACTAGCTTTAAACACTCAACCAACAATTTTAACACGTATTTTAAAAGTTTTATTGAACTGCAATTCTCATCAATTATTTCAATAAAAAAACCATTGCCGCATTTCGATGGACCGAAACCGATGGCCGATGAAAGAAAGGGATTTTATTACTTTATTATTCATGGAAATATGACTAGCTTGTATCTTGTATTTTGTATTAACTGATGTTTTTGCTTTCAGTCCCGAGACTATTAAAGCTTCATCTGACGCAGAACCGGTGGGCTAGCCAGAACCCACGGGTTTGGGCCCTCCGCTGTGGGTAGGGCCGCGCATGTGCTCATGCGTGCGTTTAACTATGGTGTGTCATCTAAGGGCCATCGAGGTCGCGGTTCGGACCGAAACCCCGACGGCCGTCGACTGTGCAATTAGCTAATCGGTGGCTAAACCGGTGGCGGTGAGAACCGCCCCGGAACGCGGGTGTACCTTGTGTACGCGTTGTGTTGGTCTGGCCGTGCTCGGAGGCGAGGGCGAACTAGTGTGTTTGTTGTTGCACTAACTGTGGGTGTAGTGTTATCTGGCGGGACCCCCGGTGGTGGGTCCGGCGTATCTATGACTAGCTTACTCAACGTTAGAGTCCACTCATCGCACTTATGCTATAAATGCGAAAGTTTGTGTTTGTTCCTTTAGAGTTAACTTAAGAATAGAGAACGTTTGCAGCAGCACTGGTTTGCCACGTTGAATACATGATTCCTGGAAAATCACTAAACTATTTTAGTTCGAAAGGGAGAAAAGTCAAATTCCAAATTACTTTATCCACTTCGGGCTATACTAAACTGTTAAGAAAGTAAAAAACCAGCTTAGTGCGAGTCAGACTCGCGCACGAAGAATTTCGTACCATTATCTATAAAAACGGCAAAATAAATCGTTGTGTTGTATGGGAGTCCCACTTAAATAATTTTCTATTCTGTTTTTCAGTTTTATTATTGTGTTTTGTTGTTATAGCTGCAACAGATATACATAATATGTGAAAATTTCAACTGTCTAACCTTCACGGTTCATGAGATACAGCCTGATGATAGACGGCCAGACAGACAAACAGGCAGCGGATTCTCAGTAATAGGGTCCCGTTTTACCCTTTGAGTACGGAACCTTAAAAATTATACCAATCAAAGATAGACCTGTCCATAAAAGGGCAGAAGGAAAAAAAGTGATACAGTCTTGAATGTTTTTTTTAATATACACGGATGCATGTGGCTCACGGACGTACTTCTCGGCGGTATATGGGCAAGGCCTATATTCAGAAAGCATTATCGAACTAGGTACTGTGTCAGGGCCACGCAATAGTCTTCTTTGTTGCACGAATGGGCAGGTCCGTCCGGGTAAGTTCCACGACCTCCCAGAAGACGGGCGTGAATTTGTAGTGTTACACTTCTGCGTTTAGTAGCCGGGGCTCGCTTTATTAAAAGGTAACGCACCAGCAACCCTACGGGTGTTGTAAATGTCCATGGGCAGCGGTTATCACTTAACATCAGGTGAACCGCCAGCTCGCTTGCCACCTACGTAATACGTACAAACACAATAATGTTAACTAATAATGCACATAAAATTATTTTTAAGCATCCAATATGGCGGCGTCTCACATCCTGAGCGCGGTGGAACCGACAGTGGGAGGTGGCGCCTCTCGCGGCGGGCGCGAGCGCGAAGTGAACGTTGCACTTGACGACCGCGAGCTGTGGGTGCGCTTTCAGACGCTCACCAACGAAATGATCGTCACCAAGAACGGACGGTGAGTCGATATTGAAATTTTTTTAAACACCAGCCTACGGACATCCGCGTTTTTTACTGTGGTTACGAATGGGCAAGCTCGTGCGAGGGCGGTACACGGTGTGAAGTTTAAGTACTAAAACTTCGCGTCTCGTGAGGTGATTGGGGTAAGCGGTCAGGTTTTGTAGATATCTATTGTTATGGGTGGCGGTAATGACTTAACAGCAGGTGAACCGCCTGTTCACCAATCAAGTTTTCACAAAAGAAAAAACAGATACAGCAATTCCGTAAACGGTGTTTGAAAATGATGAAATTTCGAAATAGATTTGTTTCTATATGTTATCGAACTGGATGATGCATTTTGATTCCATGTCGTTTGGAGGAAACTCCTGCATAAGAAATAAGAAAAAAAATGTATTAAGATATGCGAGGTTAGCGTATCCGCACAGTAGCGCGGACGGTGAACATACCTAATTATCTGTATAGGGGAGGCTATTGCACAAACATGGGACATATCAATGAATGTATGAATGTGTTGTTACGAGTAACCAACTTTGTACAAGGTAGTGATGCGAGACACTTGATTAAAAACACGATTGGAGTCGCATTACTAGTATAAAGGTTAAACACAGAACTCTAATTTTACGATATAAAGTTCTAAACATTAAATTTACTATAAAACAACAATTTATTATAAGTGTTTTTCCTTGATAAAATTTGTAGTTCATTGAAAAAAATTAAATCCAAAAACAGCTTTTCGTCGGAGAATATGTAGAAAGGTACTTGCAAAATTAAGTTTTATATTTATATAATTATACGCAATCTCAATTTTATTATACATATCTTTCAAAGGCAGAGCAAGCGGCCGCTGTACCTTCCTATTACTGATCTTATCATATGAAATCATGAGCTTTTCATAAAAAATAAGAAGGGAATATAAGACGAGTAACATGAAATATTAAATAAAGGTTGGCAGCAAGCTTATTATTTTTAATAATAAAAACGAACATAAAACGGAACAACATTGAGTCATTACATTCTAGCGGCATTGGTAATGTTGATTTGTGAGCGGGTGGTCATTTAAAAGAACGAGATACAACATTGCAGTAAATGAGTAGAGAATAACGTAGTACAATACCGCTTACAATATAGTTTATAGCTCGCGTCATCGTTGTGCTTAAAACTCGCCATATAACTTACTCTAAACCTTCAAAAACAAATTATCTGGAATTGTTTAATGACGAGCTAAATATAAATTTCTGTTGTGTCGTTATATGAAATAGACAGCACAAACTATGGTACACAAGAATCCTTCACTTTTCATATTGTAAGGAAACAAGATTTACGTTCATAAATTAAATTTATACTTAATTTTGGCGCGTTTGGAAAAAATTATGAGATTAAAATACCGACCCCGAAAAAGCAACATGACAAAACAACAACATTGTTATGGTTGTTTCAAGCGACCAACGTCACAGTATTACCATGGCAAACAATAAAACTTTTTGACAACTGACTTGACATTGGCACAATTCTCTAAAGAGAAGTCATAAAGAAAGAAAGTGGAAGGCCATTAATAAAGGAAGAAGAAGAAGAAGAAGAAGAAAGAGGAAGAACTTTTTGACATTTGCCTATAATTCTAAATTTTTAATTAGACCTTTATCAAATATATGTTATAAAATTAGTTATTTTTTTACGCTAACACATTTTACTGCTATAACATTTTACGTGCATAAATAAGTACACACATAATTACTTTCTTTATTTCAGATCGCAAACAGAATATTACCCTGAATCAATTAATATTAGAAATATGACTTAAGATAATACACATATAAAATAATGATAATAATATTAGGTAAATTAGCGAAGACATCTTTTACACGAAATATATAGTGTCAGCATATAATTATACAATTAATTGATTTATGCGCAATAAATGTAGTAAAAATAATTTGAGAATAAATTAGTAAATCTAAAATGACACACTACAATAAAATAAAGCAAAATCCAAATACAATTAAAAGCAAAAAAAATATTACCATACGAAAAAAAAGGATATAAAAAATACAGGATAAGCGGTAAAATATATAAAGGTAACTTGGAATTTATGAAAAATACAGTTTTTAATGTTGCATGTGACATTACATACATGTATGTAAAGCTCTTGACTCTTGACATATGACATTATAGCTTGAATTCTTACGGTAAATAGGTGAATGCTCACCGACGCCGTAGCGGCAGCGTACTATACACCTTTTGTATTTCTGTATTCGACCATTAGCTCGCGGTAAACCCATATTAAGTTTAGAAAGTAGTTAAGGGAGATTGATTATCCCTAGAACTATTTTATGATTACAAAACAATTATTACGCTCTTTCAAACGTTTTTAGAGAATGCAGATGCTTGTAAGAATACAAAATATGGTTTAGATTATTAGCAAAAGACATATTGTAGAAGATTTTTTTTAACTCGTTCGATTCTATGTGTGAACGCTTTAAGATGCTCCATATGGGAGAGAAATGTTCTGACAAGACCGAACAGTTAAATAAGATGATGGGCATTGAACATATAAAACTCCTTTTATTTTAACATTAAAAAAAACTTTAAGTCAGTCTAGCACAGCGTACGAATAGGAAGTTTGTGGTTTAAGTTATATGCAAAATGAATAAATGTGAAGAAAAAACCTGCGGACCTAAGAAAATTTAATTTTTCTTTCTTCGGTTTTGTGATATATTAAAAATATAAGTTACAAAAGTATTCGGACATTTCGAAAGTTATGAATGTTGCGAGATTCGTGATTGCACTGTATCTAATCAAATAATATAGAGGCGTATTCGCTAGTGCTAACTGCGTGCAGACCGGCGGCTAGTTTTCAGCTATTAACACGGTAGGTCTTTCTCATTAACGCAGGGTGTCTAAACGATACCGCCCGATGAGCCATGACTATACCTTGCACCCTTGAAAGCTGTGTTTGTTAGAGCGACCTGCTTTTGGATCTACTTTTAAGGAAAGTTTTTAATAAAGCAAACGAAAGCCTTTCTTTCATAAAAACATTGATGTATTGAGATGTCATGGCTAGTAGTAAGCATGGCTGAGTTCAAAAGCCCAGCATCATTGTAATAAATAATAAAAAAAAAATTGCACGTGATTTTAGCACGTGCTTAGTGGTGGGGGACACGTGATGGACTGTGGTCTAATATAGTGATGGTGCGTGCGTATTTACGTTACCAGGTATTGATACCAGGTATTTCCTTGCTAGTATACCAACCAGCTACCGACCCGATATACTTGCAAGACTAGAAAGTATTTTTCCATTAAAGTATACGAGTCCTTCAAAGTAAGTATTACTACGTCGATCGAACTTGAACGTCGAACGAAACGAACGTGCGCAGTGCGATGGTGAAGCAATGTATATCGGTCTCGCCTGGTGTGTCTCTCTCACTTGATTAGATAACTTATGTGCATACAAATAAGGTTTAGATTATGCTTATACGTGAATTAAAATACTTTCAAAGTATTTTACGTCTTAATTGAAATATTTTGAATCTTATTTGCATAGTACCAAGGTTTAAACTTCAAAGGAAACAAGTTTTCGACTCGTTGCGTTGGACAGAAAATACTTTGAAAGTTATTTTTATACCTGATTCTATACCTGGTATGAGAAGGTTGACGTACTTTTATGATCTGGTACGCGATTTACCAAGTATAATCCATCCCTAGTCTAATAACCTTTGTAATGAGCCTCCTACACCTGGTCACTACATATCACTGAGATCTGTCGCAGGGTAACAGGCATACTTCGTTCCATATTTTTTTTTGTGAAAAGTTGCTAAACGAGAAGGCGGTTCATCTGATGTTAAGTGAATACCGCCGCCCATAGACATCTGCTACACCTCAGGGTTTGTCAATGCGTTGACAACCTTTTAGGAAATTGGGCTCCGGTTACCTCACTCACCAGACGAAACGTGAAAGTATTGGTCATACTTCCACTTTACGCCGGTCTTCTGTGAGGTCGTAGTACTTACCCGGACGAGCCTGCCCATTCGTGCAACAGCCGAGGCTGCTGCGTGGCTCTACCACCGATAAGCCGCCTTAACTCCCTTCCTCTACTAAGCTCCTTCTTGTTCTGTCCCTTATTTTTCCATTATCCGACTATGCTTATGTCTGTCTTACTAATATTTCCCAGGTATTGATGAGTGAGTTGGAGAGATTACTCAATAATTGCATACGATTTGTCATTGGGCAGCACAAATATGACCACGTGTCACACTTCCGCAACCAACTAAAGTGGTCGACAATACACCAGCGCAAAGAATTTCGTATCCTGTCTACTCTGTTTTCAATCTTTCATGACCCTTCCTCACCTTCCTATCTAAAAGAAAGATTTCAGTTCCTTGGGGACTCGCATTCCCTCAATCGTCGCTCTTCTCAAAAGTCGTTACTGTCTGTACCCTCTCATCACTCCGGTTTCATGTTAAATTCTTTTACTGTCACTTCTATCTTAATTTGGAACAGGTTGCCTGTTGACCTGCGACAAACGCCAACAAAAAACATTTTCAAAAGAAAACTATATATAATTATAAATATATATATAAATGAACAGCGTGTCGTCACCATCGCGACAATAAATGAACACACGTCTAACGCTACTTGCCAATAATCATAAAAAAATTTTAACGTTAAACAAAATCCATAATTAATAAAAAATTTTTTTCAAACAAACAAATTAAGTAAAAAAAAAAATAAAACAAATTTTACAACTTCGCCACAGATTCACATTACAAACCTCTCCTTCTAACAGTATGTTTTGTCTGTTTTAAATTCATTCAACCCATTCGTATGCTTTGTGACCTTTACAAATGAACTTTACGTTACATTTTTATACGTAAAGTTGTTCTAAAGTTCTTTGTTTTGTAAAATTTCATAACTCTGTAAATATTGATGTTTAAAGAATGTAAATGTTTAATACAATTTTAAAAAGATATCCCCTATATGTGTGTTCATTTATTGTCGCGATTGTAAAGACACGCAATATATGTGTATATATATATTTAGGTTTGATATATATGAATTAATATGAATTTTTAAGTACATTTACTTTGTATGTATCTATATAAGTATACTCATCTACTTACGCATTTTTATGTTGGTAGTTTTTTAATTTATTACCTAATTATAACATATTATTTGTTTAATTATGTGTCGTTTATAACTACTCTACTGCCCTTGACATTTTGTTTCTCTTATACCTAGGGTTAGCTGGTAGAGAATGCAATATAGCATTAAGCTCGCCTTTGTACAATTTTCTGTGAAATAAAGATTAAATGAATAAAAAAAATGTACAAGTGCAAGATTTTTATTACTTTTGTAAAATTATGTACCTGATATAAAAAAGTTGCCACGGTTCATTTACTTCAACACTTGAAAAGTTTCAAAAGTTTCATGGCCAATCTTTAGAACCGGGGCTGATAACTCAATCACCAAAATTTTAAAACGCCGTTAAACCCTGTCTGTGTCAATTGAACTGAGGAAAGCGTTGCCTGGCTCGCGGCAGTAGTATATAGTAGTGCAGAAAATCTACAGTAGATTCAACATGACACTTATTTTCTAATGTTCTTTTTCAGGCGAATGTTTCCCGTTGTTAAAGTCACCGCTAGTGGTCTGGACCCTACTGCCATGTACACGGTGCTCCTTGAATTTGTGCAAGTGGACTCGCATCGATGGAAGTACGTTAACGGAGAATGGGTATGTAATGGTATGGTAGACTAGGTGATTCAAATTAAAATAATGTGAAGTACATTACAATTAACTTATAAAGGCAGTTTACTTATACAGCTTTACTTTACAACGGCGACAATAAATGAACACACATATTTTTTTTTTCTTTAACTTATAGAGAATAACTTTCTAAAATTGTATTCACCTTCTTTAAACATCATTATTTAGCGAGTTAATAAATTTTCCAAAACAAACAATTTTAGAACACCCTAACGTAAAGTTCATTTTTAAAGGTCATAAAACATACGGTTAGAAGGAGAGATTTGTAATACTACACTGTGGCAACGAATGAAAAAGTCTCTGAATGTATGAATCAGTCAGTTGTAGTTGTATAGGATGTTACAAATTTTGTTTCATTTTTATTTAATTAGTTTGTTTGAAAAATATATTTTTTTAATTATGGATTTTATTAACGTTTATATTTTTTTATGATTATTGGCAAGTAGCGTTAGACGTGTGTTAATTTATTGTCGCGGTTGTAACGACACGCTGTATGTGATAACATTCACACAGTTCAGAACCATTTGTGTAATTATTTCATTATATAACTTTTTATTCGACAGGTGCCTGGTGGGAAGGCTGAAGTACCACCCTCAAATGCAATATACATCCACCCAGAGAGCCCTAACTTCGGAGCGCATTGGATGAAGGAGCCTATTTCATTTGCTAAAGTGAAGTTAACAAATAAGACTAACGGAAATGGACAGGTAAAACATAATTATATAATAAAACTTATGCTCGCGATTTCTTCCCGTGTTTCTAGTACCGAAATTAAAATTAAATTCTGAACCCTTCCTGAAATGTAACATATTTTTAAACGATTATATATCCACTCCATTCAAATCTAACTACAGACAAACATTAAGACAATTCCATATGTGTCATTTGCGTACTTATATAAATTTCGATAATAAAAATTCAATAAGACAAATGGCACCTATAAGATGGCAAATTTATATGTTACTTATTGCAGTTTTTGAATTTGGTGCTAAACAATCAAATCATCATTGATAAATGTAAATGATTGAAGCATTTTCGACTGTTTGACGTTTACTGTTCAAACCATTAAATACAATACAAATATAACAACCGATATTCCAGACTTAATGAGACGGATATTTAAGAAACAAAGATGGACATTTCGTGTGCTCAGTGGCCGCGCATAATTAACAAGTAACAGAACTGACAGAATACTAATTTTTGATAATAGAAAGCCTGTTAGGTGAAGGTGTGATACTGCTACAGTTCCGTGGCTACCGCGAGTTCATAGAAGTCATTTCTCACGCTTGTATACGGTGCGAATGAATATGAAAGCAAACATCGAACACATCCAGATCCATATGTTGACGTCTCGGTGTGAAATCTTTAGCTTTACTAACTATTTAGCGGGTAGCGTACGCACTATCATTTGTAATAATTATTGTCTCTGCGCTATGTTTACCCGTCTATCTTTTTTATGATAATAGTTTCTTTATCTATATTATGCTACACATGCTATATTTATTGTGGGAACATCCGTATTACGCTGATCGTTAGGATTTTCTTCACTTTAGTTGTTTACGTAATGACAAATTTAACAGAAACGTCGGACATGATCAATAATGCCTTTTTACTTATTTGACCACTCAGTATGTATCTATCGAAAATATAGATATTACTTTTCAACTTTCACCCTTCAAATCTCAGTATCTACAGTTAGACAGTAAAGTATCTGAAACTAACGTTGACGTTTCTTGTCTATCCTTACGTTTAAGAATTACCACCATCTGGTTACAGTGCATAACTCATATAATATTATCTTCTTTGCCTTTCAGATAATGCTGAACTCGCTGCACAAGTACGAGCCGCGTGTGCATTTAGTGAAAGTCGGGACGGACCTCCGCCGCATCATGACGTACCCATTTCCGGAGACCCAATTTATCGCTGTTACGGCGTACCAAAACGAAGAAGTCACTTCGCTCAAGATCAAATACAATCCCTTCGCGAAAGCTTTCTTGGACGCGAAGGAGAGGCCTGAAGGCTATTATCAGAGGGACTTCGTTGGTACACATTATCCGCAACAAAGCAGCTCGCCTCATCAGTACCCGCAATGTATGTACAAACATTTAAGTACAATTCATGAAATTTTCTTAACGGTATTTGTTTAAGAAACTTAACGACGACCACTTGTTAAAGAGCGTTCTCTTTAATATTTATCGTTCGGTTCTTTAAAGAACGTTGCATTTTGTCAGGATTATCGTTAATAATAGCTTTATACAAAATATGTGAGTTAAGTCTGTTTGTTCTCGGTTGATGCCCTTACTACGATAGTAGAAGTATCGCGTGGTTACTATTTTCCAGTATTAAATAATCAAGCTTCATCTGCATCAATAATATAACATCTTTTTTTTCTCATAAATAGTGGGATGTAATCACTTCATGTTGACATTACATTAACATGATTTGCTTGGTCTTTTCGGAACTTTTGAACTTTCTTTTGTTTTATGTTGTTTTGCTTTTTATTTATTTTAATTGTACCATTTCAGTTGGAGGATGGTTCGTTACGTCTCAATCATTGTACGGCAGCAGCAACTCGGCTTCTCGGAGACCAGCTCCCTACCCACCGCGACCGCCCTCGAGGCCAAGAACTTTATCACCGCCTTGTAAGTTATTTCTCGTGCTTCTCAATTTCCATTCCTCGATCAGCCGTTATCTCAATACTCACCCCTTTCAAAGGCATAACATTCTTCCCACAGTCCATCAAAATATTCCTCTGGCTTTACACCCTGTAACCACATTCATACTCATCCACTTTTATAGTCATATAACTTTTATCCTTTCTCATAGCTGGCTTTCTCAGTAACCGATGAGACAAGAGTTCACATTTATTACAACTCTATCTAATATAGATATTTTTAAGATTTAAGAGACGAGCTGAAACTTAAAAACTAAATTTCAATGACAAAGGCGACATCTATAGTTTTTAAAATATTAATTGTAAATATGTAATTTGAGAAAGTGCGATTGCTATAAATGAACATTAGATAACATCAGGCGTTACTAAAGGTGAAATAAAATCAAAGGTCGATTTTCGTGCGGTGAAGATGTCTACCGCTTAGTTTAGAGGCTAGAGCGTCTGGACACGAAATCCGAAGGCCTTAACGCCATTATTGTACATATATTCGCGACGTTTCTCATACTTAATATGGAGATCATGGTCACTGAGACGTTTTACGACTTAATTTCACTAGATGACACGGTGAAAAACAAAGTTTTAATCCAATAATATGTTGTTTCAGAAAAAAAAAGAAATTATTAACCTAAAGCATTTCTTTGTAGCAACATCATACAGCAACGCGGAGCGGACGTCAGCTGCAAACGCTAGCGGCAGTTACACGTGGTCGGGCAGCGGCTACTGGAGCTCTGGGCAAGGGAGCAGTCCGCCCCAGCCGAACGCCTCCCCAGCGCCGTACCGCACCCCGCCGCACGCGTACCCCGCTCCCATCGAATACGCACCCGCACCCCCTACGAGCACTACCGCCTCAGCGGCAGCGCCTGCGCCGCTGTACCCCCTCCAGTATGAGGCGCCAGCGCAGCACCATTCGCCGTATTACCAGCACGCGTACGCCCCGTACGCCCATCACGCGATTGAGGACATCTCGTACTGGCCGAATAGGTGATTTTTTTCTATCGTTATCGGTTTAAATGTTTATACAAATTAAAGTGATTGTTTTTGTATACATGGATTCAAATCTCGGTGCCAGCCAGCGCCTATGAAATTATTAATGGAATTTTTACTGCTGATTTACTTATTACTGCTCTACCTTACTATTCCCTTTACGGTGAAAGGTAACGGCTCGAATTTACATATCTAAGAAATAAAGACGTATTTTGAACATATGTTTAATTTGCTAATACCTGATAAGGTATGTGTGCATTGATGCCTTTATACAGTTGAGTCCTCTGCACATAATTAGGACAAACATGTATAGACTACTTTACTTTTGATTGGTATGACCTATTAGGTGGTTATTGTTAACTCGTTCCCTTTCTAAATGAACATCACCTTGCTTGAAACATTTGAAACTCGTTATTGATTCCGCACTATATTTTAGTAAAATTTGGTATAAACAAAGTACACTTAATACAAATAATGTTTTTATTGCTATAAGTAAATGTTATTAAAATAATATTGAGATAATGAATGTAAATACAACAATGTTTGTTTACTGTTTCAGTTTGAACACATACGGCTATCAGCCCACGGAATACGTTGGCGCAGGGGAGGTTTATGGAGCAGACAGTATGCCCTTCGGCCCTAACGGGCCCCCATTGGAAGCGAACACGGCAAGTGGCGAAGGACGCAACACGCCCCCCGGTTCGGATCATCAATCCGGGGAAAGGGAATACAAATTCAGCACGGAGGCGGAACGACACTCACCATGCGAGGAAACTGCATTACCACCCCGCTCTCCGACGCAGTGACCTTCACGGCCCCTTATGTTATTTACCCAATGTTAATAGACCTGTGGAGTACACGCGGTACGTTATAGATGCTAATGTCTAGTTAATGGCTACATAGTCGATATTTGCAAATAATAAATCTATAAGTATATCGTAATAGTCTTATAAATAGGAGTTTGTAGCGAATATGTAGGTAGGTATGTTAATAGCAAATATGTTCAAGGAAACTATCAATGAATACTCGTACGCTCTTGTTATTTCTCACAAGATATCCTATTTACTAAAACTTAGGATTAGTTTAAGTTTCTCTGAAACTTGATAATTTCTTTTAATAATGCGATTATATGTCACTACATAAAGCTATTTAGTATGTAAGCCGACGTTTCAAACCCTTTTCAGCGCTCATGGTCACGGGACAAACTGAAACCGCGGGAAGGAACATATAACCGACTTAAAACATAACAGATTAAACAAGTCTGCACTGTCTGCACTGTCTATGAGCACACCATAAATCGCCCCAAACATTATATCAGGTTTGATAGGTCTATCAAACCTGATATAATGTTTAGGGCGATATATGGTATACTGTGGTCACAGCAAGAGAACATCGATTCCTCCGAAAGATGATTCGCGTGGCTATTCAAATTAAAAAAGATCTTAATTTCAATAGAAAAGAGCGTTGGGTGTTACCATCAATTTGGTATTCTATTATTAATAAAATTGAATCGAGGCCCAAACGAACCACGACTGCAAGAAAAGATAAAATTAGAGCATGTTCTGCGTAGATTGACACAAAGATTAATTATTTAAAAACTGGTGGTAGTCCGTACCAACAATGACACTGACGGTTTCTGAAATACTGATCATCGTGAAGTGAACTAATCAGCTGTCAAATGGCTTCGAAAGATCATTCTGATGAATTTAGAGTTTAAAAATCCTTTTGGCAACTCAAATAACATGTCTGTCCCGTGAAAAGGGTTCGAAACGTCGGGAAGTAAAACTAAAAATAAACGCGATAAATCCGTAAACATAGTTTCATTTAGTTCTCTGAAACAATTTAGTCAAGTAACGATTAGTGCTATAACTTTTATATGATATTTACAATATGAAAGTAAATGGAAATTAAATTAGGTAAATAAGTTAAGCTAAAATCCCAAAACTTGAAGATTATCAAGGACTTAAACCTTTGAGACGTGAAAAAATTTATTGGAATTAAGTGATAAAGCGATTCTAATCTTATTTTCAATGACCGACAATTTATTTCCACTTTTCATTGTAACCTCGATCAAGAAATTACTTTTCATAATATATAATTAATTAAGTATTTATAAAACAAATCAAATAATACGAATACAACTGACAAATACGACATTCTAATAAGTAATTGAAATAATTATTTACCCGTATATGTGCAATTCACAATGTTTAAATATGTTTGGATTTACTTTTTTTTACCAAGAGCTCAGGTTCAGTCTAATAGGTTAGGTAGGTTCAATTTATAGTGTGACATTCTTTGTCTCAGTGTAGCTTACTCATGGCTCGACGATAGATTCATCGGAAGTGTATGTAAAAATACAACGTTATTAAAAAATGAAAGACTCATCTGGTTATTAAAAAAATAACAAGTAGGTATCGAAATTAAAAGATTTTATCAGCTAATGTGCGCATAAATAAGAACAATCTGTTTAATTGAATTTCATATTAATGTTTGTATACAAAGCTAAGTATGGGTATAATAATTATGATAATATTATTTTTGCCTTTCGTACATACTACATAGCGAGGCGTGCTATGCATTCAAAGAATGTGGAACCTTTTTTAAGCTTCATGTACCATGTATTAACTTTTCGTGTAAATAAAAATATTATTTTACCTAGTTTTTAAGTAGGTTATACAATAACTTTTTATCTGCAAATTATGCATCGAAAGTCGAAAATAAATATTCATGTTTCTGTTAATTGGACATTTTATTTAATTCTTGAATACGCGGCATTCATTACCGATGAGAAGACGGTAATAAGTATTTATTTAACCAAGTCATACATTATTTACTCATGCACCCTAAGTAAATAATAAATCTCGCTATATAAAATATACATATATTCAAAAAACATGATGTTTCTTAAACTTTCACGCTTTAACTACTGAATGGATTATAATGAATCTTTATAATAATATATATATATATATATAGCTATTGTATGGTACATCAGAATAACACATAGGCTATACTTTATACAAAGATACAGGGGTCTCCCGAAGTAACTGTCTACCTTTTTCACGTTCAAAACTAAGCCGCATAACCAATTTTGATGAATTTTGGTATAAGCATAGATAAGACCTTGGAGAAGAAAATAAGCTACTTGAAGTACTAATTCAGCGCAGACGAAGGCGCGGGCACCAGCTAGTCTCCAATAAATCTCTTGCATGGTATTTCATTACTTCCAAAGTAGTATTTTTGAAGATAAAAAATGACAAGTGCCACGTTTACATTTAACCACTTTTATTTGGTATTGGTATCGAAATATTCAAAAGATATTCTCCCGGTTGTGACAGCGTTATATGAAATGTGTACCCATAAAACCCAGCCATAGTGCATTTTGAGGAGCTGCAGGATTTCCGATGGAGCCCAACAGTGCTTCTCAGGAGTACCCCTGAGCTCATCTAAAAAAGGATGCGACGCGACGTCTATTTGCCTTGAGGATAAATAAGTGCTACATTATACGCTGGCCTATAAATAAAACTTATTGAAAAAGGTATTCTAATCATCATGTTTCTTTTTTTTGGACTGATGAAAACAATGCTTAATATAATAATTATGAATGGGTATCGATTTATTTTGTAAATATGTATTCTTTTTTATAAAACAGCACTGAATTTAATATAGTAGAAACAATTTTTCTCATGCGGGCATCGAACATACACATCAAAGGTTAACAAATGCTTTAACTGATTGAGCTTAACTTAACTTTTTACCTATTAACCAGAAATAAAAATTTTCAATCTAGCATGCTAGTCGGACGAAATAACACGCTATATTTTGCGGCTATAATGACAGACATAAATAAACATCACGTACTCCACCACACCACATAATATAAGGAAATAATAAAAATGATAACCCCGCTAACCTTAGGTAATGAAGCACTGACCTGAGAACGACCCACATTATCTCATTTTGTCTGCTTTGAAGCTTAAACAAAATTCCGGGAGAATGGACGAGCCGAATCCGTTATACAGCTATAATTACGAACAGAAAAGTGTTAAAGAGGATAACTACGTTTACAGAACATTACTATCTACATTTTTTATTTTTATTCAGCTCAGATTTTAGTATGTTCACTAGCTTCACGATTTGTTTATATAAGAAAATTGTTAAAGCTCAACAAAACAAATATTTAGGGAACACAATGGATTTGTGTTATATACAGGTAAAAAAACAGGTGCGCTAAATAAAACGCTAATTGATGCAGATCACGCTGGTGGTGATTTTAGGTAATCTGCAAATAAGCCAAGGTAAAAAAGGAAGCTAATTTTTAGTTTGAGAATTTTGTTTAAAACCCATTCTGGACAAATCACTGTGAGGCGTTGTCACGGGCATATCCAAGTTTAGTTTTGCCAGCCTATCTTATAAAGTGAGTAACTTGATCGCCATGACCGATCAAGACGGGGCTACGCTACGCTCGTTTACAAAAGATAACGTGGGGAGGATAGGGTTCATTGTCGCTAAATGTCAACAGTATTCAATGGTGAATATCTTTTTCAGGAATAGAACACTCGTAGGATCAAATGCACCATATGCGTGATGCAATGCTGAGATATGTGAAATAGCGCATTACGGTACCAAGAGTGGCCATTGAAATAGAAGGTCGACCAAAAATATTATATTAGGATATTGAATGGCCTAAAAAACACAATGGATGCCAAAACATTATTTGATAATATCAGTGGTAATATTACACTTTATCTCTTCAGAATAAGTATAGAACTGTAGATGAAGATTTAAATTCTCGTACAATGACATAAAAAACATTAAATGCTAACCTCGGAATGTTATTGCTTTTACATTATCATTAACGTTAAATAAAATGCTTGGTTATACAGCGTGTCGTTACAACCGCGACAATAAATGAACACACATACAGAGGATAACTTTTTAAAATTGTTTTAAACATTTACATTCTTTAAACATCAATATTTATAGAGTTATTAAATATTCCAAAACAAACAATTTTAGAACACCCTTACGTATAAAACTGTAACGTAAAGGGGCCCATTCACTATCCTGCCTGGCAGTTCGCCGTGCAGGACTGCAAAGCAGGATGTAGCCCACACACTATTCTGCAAGTAGTCCATCATAGTGTCAGTGTTATTTTTGTAATAATTATGGATTTACGTGAAGTATCGAAAAAAAAAAAGAAAATAGCGATTCTGCTATGTTTTTTGTTGTTGTTAGATAAAAGTTTTTATTAATAAATAACCTTTCCTCACAATATTATACTAATATACATAAAATTTAAGTAGTAATCTAAGCTTTTCGAAAGCTAAAGTTTTTTAGCTTAGTTTTAGTTATCACATCAGTCGGGCTTCCCGGGATGCACAAGTTTTTTTTGTTTAAAATAAAGTACCCAGTCCTGTGTAGATTTTATTCTAACATGTGAATAAAATTTAATTCCTAAAAATATTTCTAAAAAATTCCCTGTTACATAATTTCTGTTGTAAATCTGTACTGTGTAAATTTACATTTTACATCCGTATTTTCATATAATATAGCGCAATTTTGCTAAGGGCTTAGTGCATTTTGTTTCTTCATATGGCAACAATGCCGCTATGCAGGACGGCCAAACCACTGACGGTCCTGCGCGGCGGACTGCAAGCGGTGGGCGGAGTTTGCAGGACCCTTGCAGGATGCAAGGCGCGTCCTGCTCGGTGTTGCCAGAAATCCTGCATAAAGCGGCGGACTGCACGGCGGCCTGCCAGGCAGGATAATGAATGGGCCCCTAATTCATTTGTAAAGGTCACAAAGCATATGAATGAGTTGAATGAATTTAAAAGAGACAAAACATACTGTTAGAAGGAGAGACTTGTAATGCGACGCTGTGGCAACGAATGAAAAAGTCTCCGAATGTATGAATCAGTCAGTTATAATTGTATAGGTGTTACAAATTTTGATTTTTTTTTACTTAATTAGTTTGTTTGAAAAATATTTTTTTTTATGGATTTTTTAAACGTTAATATTTTTTTATGATTATTGGCAAGTAGCGTTAGACATGTGTTCATTTATTGTCGCGATGGTAACGACACGCTGTATACAGGATGGCTTTGCTAAAGGTGCTCAATTTCACACAGGAGGTTCAAACTCGGTAGTATAATCGTTTATTGAAATAATAATAAATTTTTTTTTCAAATAAATTGCCATTGTATTCCCTAAAAAACGGAACTTATTGAGAATGGTGTAATCATTCAGAAATGCGTCGTATACTTTTGAAACGACCTTTTGTGCGTGTTAGTTATGATGGATCGCGCGTAAAATAAATGAGTTGCCAATATGTCACGAGTGGTTTTAATTTTTTTTTTATATAACAATACTTATGTATAGAATTTATTTTAAAAAATGGATACACTTAGAAAAGCCTACCTGTATACGAATTATGAAAGGATGAATAGTAGGCACATCTTGGAAAAGCGAAAAGAAGCACTTAGTACATGATTAAAAGCTACGAGTTACTATCAGTGCTACCAACTTCAAATACTCCTAATGCAATTCTAAAACCCACTAAAATTGACTAAATTCAAACAAAAATTTCCTAAATTTAAAATCACGATTTTTTTTATAGTAACACGGAAAAATAATTATCTGATAAAATTAACTATTTCATTCAAAATAGTTAAGACCATTAAATATAATATAATTCATTTTTATATTACTTTAGAAATGAATATGCTAACAATAAAATGACAACAATATAATAAGTAATCATTAGAATACATTAAAGATATATAGGGCTTGGACTGTTATCCACCAAGGCACCACAGCACTATTTAATTTTATTTTTGTTTGAAATAAGTAGTTTTGTGTAGTTTTCTTTCGAAAATGTGAATAAAATTTATCTCCCAAAACCATCCATTCTACCTTTTTTCCTAAATTAAGGAAGAAAATTCATAGGTTGGCATTGCAGGCTACTATACGCAGTCGCAAACGCAAACAGAAATCAATATAATATAGTATTGCCAAACTTGAAGTAGCATCTTCTTATTCTATGTTTCAAAAATAATTTAACCTTTTTAATAAATTATTAATATCATGTCATAAACTGAAACTGACTCTTAATTAAATGAAGGTATAAAAATTTAAGAAATATCCATTTGGGGAAAAAAAGTTTATTCAATCAGGTAACTCTCAGCTATAGACGATGGATAAAACAGTTGGCAAAATTAAATTAATACACGATAAAATTTTAGAGTTATCGTGTAATAGTATCAACATATATATATATATATATATATATATATATATATATATATATATATATATATGTTGATACTATGTATTAACAAAAATATTTTAAAATAAGCGATCATTTTATAGATATATATTACTAACCACTGGCAACATTAACCACATTGTATTGATTTGTGCTCAACAGGGGTGATTACGGTAAGTTCTTGTATTTTAGAATATTATCTTTTCAGACTAAATATGGTAAAAAATAGTATATGTGTATTTTGCGTGTTAATTATAGTATATTTGTAATTATAACTATTTAAGCTGGTGTAAAGTGTGAGATATGAAAATTTTAATTATATAAATAAAAAAAAAAATAAACAGTTACTTTTTTGTGTTGTTATTAAATATAAAAACTGTGTATAAAGAAATCTGTTATTCCTAATTATACTTTCACAATCAATTATAATATATTATATAACAATAATTATTAATTTCTTCATTTGCAATTATTGAATACATTAACCTTTATTTAAAAAAATAAATGTTAAATATATTGATAGGACTAAACAAGAATAAAACAGCACTTCTTCCACAGTACATTTATCCAAATATATGTGTTTTTACATTTTGTTTTTTTTTATAATTTTGTGATTTATTGAATGATATGAATTTTGTATGTTATTTCTTAATGAGTCGGTTTTTATGCACCTTAACGGTATGAACTAAAAAACCATTTCCTCAAATTTTTTTTAGCCAGCCCCACCCAATTCATTATATAAATTGTTTTTCATACACTTATAACCAATGAATCATACTTATTATATGATTTGTTTTGCTGCCTGTTTTGTTGCCCGAGAATTGTTCATAAACACATTGTTTTACTTACAGTAGCAGTCTTGTGGGCCAAAGAGTAAGCTGTTTGCAAGAGAGAGAAGATATTATAATTAATCGAGAATTTATTCCTTGTACATTGTACAAGAAGAGTTTTTATCTGTTGGAGTTATAAAATCTATCAAAATTAAGGACTATAGTATGGATGATGATGCACATGAAAATTCTCAAGAAGAGAGAAAGAAAGCTATACAGCATTGTGTGTTATCACTAACACATGCTTGTAACTGCCGCAGAGTTAACTGTATACAGTATAACTGTCATAAGATGAGAAGGGTTTTATATCATACAAAGGTCTGCAGACGAAAGACAAAGGGCGACTGTCCTGTATGCAAGCAACTTATTGCTTTATGCTGTTACCATGCCAAATTCTGTGAAGGAACAAAGTGTTCAGTGCTATTTTGTAGTAGCATTAAGAAGAAACTGCTGCAACAGCGACAGCGAGAGCTTCAGGAACAACAACTGCGACAAGATCGATATTAAAATAATTGACCTTTCCCGTTTCTACTACTTTATCTGAATGTTTACTACTAAGGCAATATTTATAGTTGTGAACTTTCTATTATTATGTGGATTATGAGGAAGATTATGTTCATTTGATTATATTTTATTATCAACTTGATTCTTTTAAAAGTCTATTTTACTTAACTATTTAATACAGTTATGATGTAAACTATTATGTTGTACTGAATATATTTTTATTTCTTTTTTTAGCTATAAGATTTCTTTCATGAAATTTATTATTATTTATATAACAAGGTGATATACAGTCAAGGTTTTGCTTTAATAACTATTTTTCCTGTTACTGCTGGAACATTGTTATTTTTATA